GCCTCCTCTGAGGTACCCTATAACGGGTGGTCGCACAGCAGCTATGAACAACAACGTCCGGCTCTCACATTGCTACTCGACAAACACGAGATCATATTCCTCAAAAACCAAAGATCCTGGACAAACCACCTCTGTCTATAAGACCCCAAGTACCATAATACTGAGCAGTGCAGCAGTCGAGGTCAAGGACTTCTCGACAAGAGGTCGCATTTGCTTTCGTGGGATGGAGGGAGGTCGTACTCAGGATTTTTGGTGAAGGCGCAATCATAGGTTGTACACTGCTTTGCGTAAATTTATTTATTTATATTATTTATTTACTATTGCACTCAAGGTGCGCCTAAGACAATCAGCGTGCGTATAAATACAAAGTTGACTGCTAGAAAAATTCAACACACGCCTAGATTAGCGACCTAACTATGCAGAATGTGTCCGTAGGAAATAATGAATTTGTCAGCATTGGCGACCCTTGAAAATGAACGTGAATGAGAAGCTCCTCAAAGAATTCACCACTACCTACATATAAATGAGAATAATAGATTGGTCTTGTATCGCGTAGGTTGATAACGAAGGAGAGCGTGGTCGGTCTGGGCAACGCAACTAACATAGGTTATTCCCGGGCGGGCCAAAGTAGTTGCCTCTTTGATCTAAACACGAACCCAGGGCGTAAGACCCAGACCCAAGCAGTCAGAATCGGAAAACTTGTTGACCCAAAAGTTCCTGAAAATTCGCATGATAGGGTGTTTCTGAGAAAGCCTTCGAAGGGTGAGTGTCAACACCAACTTCCATTTCGAAAACACGAAGACTTTTTATTTTATTTCTGCAGAGAAGGGCCACTTTGCCGATTTTGCAAAAATATAAATCCATCCCATGTTTCTGAACCACGCCAAATCCACGCCAAACGAGAACTTAAATCTCATTGAAGGTTGGATTTTTGAGCATTCTTTGAGAGAGCAGGTTGCATTTCTTATAACGCGATGGGGTATCTCAGCTGGAACGCAGAGAAAACTTTAGGTCTCTCCCGAATTCCATATGCTGCTTTAGAAATCTTACAAGGGAGGTCGTTCAGGGTGTGCCAAGCTTTTTCAAAATGGTTTCTTGCATGACATTGGGGCACATATGGGGACCACAGAAGCATGGTTCATTTTTCCTGAACGGCCCTCTGAATACCAGAAAAGGGGTCCCTAGTTCGATTCCTCGTGGTGACAAATTTTTGCATTTCGTGTTGACGTTTCCAAATTCGCGCAAAATGGAGTTAGCATGAATAATTAGTACCAAATTCATGATTAGGAACGTCAGTAACCCTTACAAATAGACTTTGAAATTGAAAAAGGTGTGACTAGGGACCCCCTTTTCTGGTATTCAGAGGGCCGTTCAGGAAAAATTAACCATGGTTCTGTGGTTCCCGCATGTGCCTCTATATCATGCAAAAGACCGTTTTGAAAAAGCTTGGCACACCCTGAAAGACCTTCCTTGTTAGCAGACATAAACGGGCTCAAATCACGCGCGGTTTGACTGCGTGACGAATCCCTCATTTTTGCGCAGATTTAGCCATTTTTTCTGAGCCCGACGGCGGTGTTACTTCCGTCATCACCTTAAGAAGAGGAAGTGGAAACAACCTGACAGTTACGCCAAATAACAATGAAGTTCAACCGAGAAACATGGGGTGGATTTATATTTTTGCACAATCGGCGCAAGTGGTCTCTTTTCTGAAAAAAATGAAATTTTTTCGTGGCTTTCGAAATAGAATTTGGTGCTAACACTCAACACTATTTATACTGGGCACATTGTACCCTCGAAAGTTTTCTCGTACCTTAGCATGCTTTTTCAGATGGACTTGTATTGTGTAAAGGGGTATACTGAGAGCATACTCGAGGACTGCAGGGAGAGTGAAGCGTTGGCAGAAAATAAAATTGTCGAAAAAAATTTAAGAATAGGGCGACGCGTTTAGTCTTATTTATTATCTTGCCACTCATTGGTACGCTATACGCTATGAAAACAACAGTGTGGGTTAGTACTAATAGAATGATCGAGGTCAAAAAAGGATTGCTGTTCTAGCGAATTTAGAAAAATATATTTCTCTTTTTCCTTTCTCTTCTCTTCTCGCCCCCCCCCCCCCCTTCTCCCTCCTGCCCTTCGCCTCGGTTCCACACTATGCAGTCCTCGAGGAATTTTTGGAGTTTGAAAACGATATGGATGACACTATGGAGCCAGAGCTTTGCGACGAAGAGGAATAGGGGTCTCTTATCATGGGTGAAGGGGGAGGCAAAGAGAGTCACATTGGCTTGATCTTTCTCGATAGTTCACTCTAATGGTTAGGGAACAATGATGTGGAATGATGCTGGGACAGAACACGAGTGGAGCGTTGCTGAGGACCTCAAGTTGCAAGTTTGTCATTTAGGGCAGACCTCATGCTCAAAGTGAATGACTTCTCGATCTTTGCAATCTCGAATGGAACAAACTGTAAACGCCCTTGAACGCCATTTGAAGTAGCAGTAAGTTGAAAAATCCATCAGCAGACATAACTGGTGGTGTGGATCCGCTGCGAAGGATTTTCTGAGCCCATAATTTACGCATTCTGTTTTTCTAGAAAAATTTGTGCCGCAGGCATCAGGCAATTGAAACGTATGAGTATTCAACGCTCCTCAAAGGCGCTTGGGACATTGAGTCTCAAAGACTACGTTCTCAAAAATCATTGATGCCCAATGGACCATGCTGTCATTCATTGGATGCAGATCAGGATGTGTGAGGAGACGAGACTTGGCGATTTGTCACTAGGACAGCGCTACCCCCACATTTCAGGTGTGACCATCAAAAAGGCGCAGTTGGCATAATTCGTTGGGATGTGGTATCTGGGTGAAAAGGACGCGTGAAGGCCTTTGATATTCTGTGGAGAGGACTACTCAGAACTATTTCTCAATAGTAGAGCCACTGAAAACCCTCTTTAATCACTGCATAAACTTCAGAACCAAAACGCCTCGTAAATGAGCGATCATAGTCAAGCTCCTAATCGATTACCCTGATATTGAAGAGCACATAGAGCTCTTCGCTCCAAAGTCACAACGTGGATCAAATGTTTTCGCTCAGTTAAGCAAAGCACAAAGAAGAGGTCCAGCTGGCACCCGAAGATCAGCCCACTGGCGAAGAATTATCAAAAAACGAGAAAGTTTGGCGTAGACTCTTCTATGATTCTGTATATATAGCGCCCTTCCTCCTCTGCTCAACGGCTTTGGAATGTGAAAATCGAATGATGGATGTTCATACAGCTGTGGAGCATGATAAAACGAGGAGAACCATATGCCGGGCCCCGCTGTAAATATGTTCTGTGATGGAGCACATCCCCGTTTCTTACGAAGACAGCCCGAGCACCCGCGAGTAGGATGCCCAGCGCTACTTGAAAAACTCGTCGCCTGTCATGTTTATCTTTTAAGTGCAAGAGATTTGAAATGAGCTCCCCTTTGTGGACAACACATGTACTATTCGTGGAAAGCGTGACAGGCCAGGTTTGGTAGTAGCTCGCTCCGCTTGAGCTTGCAGAGTGCATTCGTGGAAACCTTCTCAAGAACCACACGCCCAATTTGGCTTTTGCTTTGAGGTGTAAACAGTGATGAAAATGTGCGTTCATCAGTAAGAATTATCAATGGCAAGCCCCGCGATTAGGCTCAATTGTAGGAACTATACCGCTGAACTGTTTCGTCCGTACCTGCAGAGACGTGCCAGCTTCATCGCACAGAATGCGCGGTTAAGGAAGAAGCTCTCGGCAGGGTCAACCGTGCGTTGGACAAAGTCCAACGAGGGGTGGGGGGTCGTATTTGGGGTGGAAAAAGGGGGGTCGTATTTCGCGAGGTAGCGTTAATGTTACAGTAAGGGATTGCCGTTTCACGGTGCTATAAGTGCAGCGCGATATGGTTGGTGAAATAGGGGGAGTGAGAGAATTAAATTTCGTGGTAGGTGGTAGGTATATAACCTCTTCTTCGCCTCCCCCGCCTCG